AGCTTCTTGTTTCCCCTGCATTATCTCTTCTCTCAGTCTGAAGAGACCTAGTCTGTTGTTCCTTGTGGAGAAGTTCAACCTTCATAACCTTGTCCATGAAAAAACCCACCTCAGTTAGAGGTGTTGAGGTACATGGCTCCTAGCTTGCTTCTGGAGTGTGCTGGGAGCTCCTTAAGCCAGGCAGGGTGTTGCAGAGCTGTGCTTGCAGCACGTGGCAAAGCTGCCTAGGTATTTCTGGGTGGAAGCTCTCTATTCTTTGACAAGATAGAGCACCCTTGTCCCTGAGCCAGGTGGTGCTGGGGTTTAGGATGTTCTGCTGGACAAGATTGGCTAAATAAGAAAAGGAAGCAACTTCCAGTGAAATAATGAAACTTGTGGCAAGGGTGAGAATTGAGCTAGCTTTTCCATCAACAGCTGTTACACGTCTGGTGATAATCAAGCTGATACTGTGACTTCTCAGTTTGTCAGACTTAGGATGTTCAGTCTTCCTCTGAAAGCGAACGTCTCTCCTGAGTCAGCGGTTTTTCTTGTTGCTTTAACCCTTGTCCCTACATGTACATTTTGCTGTGACACCGGGTTGTGACGTACTTAACAAAAACCACTGTAACTTTGGCAGATAACATCTACCTGGAAATTCTGCACTCAAGTCGTCCAGAACTAAAGGAGGCACGAGAAATTTTGCACAAAATAGAACGGCGGGAATTATACAAGTTTTTAGGAGAGACTCAACCTGAAACAATGATGGAAATTGTAAAGGTAATGTCCATTGCTGGAAGATTCTGAATTCTGTCCCTGTAAAACTGTTCTCTTAAGTTGCTGAACATCTTTTTTTTTTCTATCTGCATGTGTGTTTTGCTTGTTTGGGATTGGGGTTTTTTTTTGCTTAACTGTTATTCCAAAAATAGTCAAATGTTCTTCTTTCTTTATGTAGCTGAGCCATGAAACATGTTATAGGATCCCCTAAAAAATAAGGAGATGGGTAGGAGGGTGAATTGCATGAGTTCCACCTTGAAACAGTTCTTTTTAGCAGCTGGGTTAATGAAAAGAAATACTCTTACTTTGCAAATCCAGCCAGAGGTGTCAAGTCTTGGGATATCCAGTGTGTTGTTTCGAAGGGAGACTGGATCGCTGTTGGTGCTGTAATTGTATCCAGCCAATGCTTTGCAGCTTCTGATGCTCAGCCGAGGGATTCGGGGAGAATTTTTCCTCCTGTGGTGCAAGAGTTGCCTGTTGCAGGAGTGTTGGAGGCTCAGCTTCCTCTGAAGTGCTGGAGGTGAGCAGTGGTTAGCCAAGACGTAACTGAGTCTGCTCTGCTCCCTCAGAGACCGCAGTGCCGTCATGTTTAGGATCATCAAATCATAGAATGGTTCGGTTGGAAGAGATGTTTAAAGGTCATCTGATGCAGCCTCCCTGCAATGAGCAGGGACATCTTCAACTAGGTCAAGTTGCTCAAGGCCTTGTCCGGTTTTGTGATGCTCGAGCTGACGAGAGCCAGGGGAGCATCCTAAATAGCTACAGAGTTCTTAAATTCAAAGCTGAGTTTCCAGTTAAGGCAAACTGGAAGAGGTAACTTTAAAAAAAAAAAAAAAAAAGCAAGCAAACAAGAACAAAGAAAAGGAGAAAGTTAGCATACATACATTCTGACAAAGAATAGAGATAGAAAAGCTTGTAACAGGCTGCCCTCCTGCCAGCTGTGTCCTGCCAGTGCTTTCCTCTAGGTTTGCTCTCAGTCTAAACCTTTCCTCGGCTTCTGGAGTCACAGCAAACCATACACGTGCCTCAGCTTGGCAATGCCTGTGGTTCCCTGCTCTCCTTAGTCTCCTCAGCTTCACGATGGACAAAGCAGCAGCAAAAAAACCCGCTGCTGTGTCTCCTGGATGCTCTATGATGCACTCGAAGTTTTTCTGTCATGAGTCTCGGTTGCTCCCAGGAAATCTTTCTGCATCAAATCTTGCATCTTCCCCAGCGCGTAGCAGCCCTGGACAACGGTCAGCAGACGACCTTCTCCCTCCTGCCCAGCCACAGCCTGGCAGTGAGAACCTACACACTGCTATGAGCAGCTGCTTTCCATCACACCGCGCTCCTCCGCTTGGCTTTAGCCCAGCTGTCACCAGGGAATGTTCTCAGGTCCAAAACCAGACAAACCCCCCTTGTGGATTTCAGCTTTTGAAGCAGGTCACCATCTCCTCCAGAATGTCCCTCGGGGCTTGCTGCTGCTGTTGCTTGTAGTTTTTTTGTAGTTACCAGTGACTTTACTGAGCTGCTCTGTCTCGTGGGGTGTTTTTACATGTTTTAATGTGTAGGTATAAAGGCTTAGTTAGAGTGAGATCCTGCAGCCCTTCATTTTAAAAAAAAAGTTTAATGGAAACGTTCAGTATTCAGCTTTGGGGAACTTCATTGCAAACCGTTTGTATGAGTAAAACAATTGCTTGCAGGTGTTTATTCTCTCCTTTTGTGGAGATTTCGACATCCTGGATGGAAACACCGTCCCTCCCTCCTGTCCCCCTCTGCTGTTTTCAGGTGTAAAACTCTTCCTCCACAGGCTAGCAGTATTTGGGTCTTCTCAATTACATAAGCTTGTTTTCTGTCTAAAAATTGGTAGAAAACTCACGGCTAAGGAATACAAGAACTCAAGCAACCAGATTGCTGCAGGAAGAGCCTGTCCAGATGTGGAGAAACGAAAAAGCTTTGCTTTAGTGACACATTCTGTCATGCATTTTGTTGCCTTGGTCTAGACCTGATAGTGCATAAATATTACCGAAAATCCGGAATAAGAAACTTACCAACACCAATGAGATGTAGATAAGCAGACACTGCTTTATTACGGCGCCAGGTGCACGGGGGATATCTCCTCCTAGCGTGCGCCCCCTGCACCGAAATCAAACTTCTTATATAGAGCTGACATATGCAAATCCATTAGGAAATCATACATAAACATATAAATTCCCGAAAATCATTAGCATGTTCTCCTCCCATTTCCGATTCCGCGCAATAAAAGTTAGAATCATTGAGAAATGAGTCTGGGGTGTAATATGGGTAGGTGGTCTGTGAGTCGGTGGTCGCGATCTCCCCCTGCCGGAATTACCTTTTGCTTAAGTTCACGGTTTCTGGCAGGTACCCATAGACCATTACGAAACTATTTCGGTTGGTTTTCTTCATCTCCATTAATCTAAACCTTGATAGCTACATGCATTCTTCTAATTCTATGTAGGTATCATAAATCAGTTTACAAATCAACTTGTGCTTTGTACTACACGTTTCTACTAAATGATTCTGACCTATCTCTTTAGTCCTGGTACAGGGCTATACAGGAATTCCGTAGCAACACTTTTCATTAAAATATTTCTTAAAACTCTATATTATTAAAATCAACTACTAACTACTAATTACAAACTATTGATTAAATTTTAATTACCAAAAATTCTAAGTATCAGTAACATAAATGTGATCTGAGTTACTCTCTTTTTTCAGAACAACAGCCTGGCAGAAAGTGTTGCTAATTCCAAACCAGAAAAGAATCCTCCAGATGTGGAGCTAAAGGCTGAAGATTTCATAATTGATGTAAATATCTCTCAGAACGGAATCAGAGTAAAAACTCCTCAATCACAGAGGGCCTCGTGTTCCCTAGTGAAAACTGAGCCACGTTGCGATACATTTGCGAAGTGAAAAACCAAAACCACAGCGTTGCCTCATAGGTCCTCAGCCCAGGAACCACCGCTGCGGGGTGTGAAGGCAGATCAAGCGCGGGCCCCAGTGGGAGGGTAACGGGCACAGTGACTCCCAGGCTCCTAGTGTTGCCCGCCTGGTGCCCAGCATCACTGCTGGGTTTTGTCTTCTGCATAAAGCACCTTGCTGCTGCAGCTCAGCCTCCAGCCAGCGCTGGTGGGAAGGGGAGAGCCTGAGCAGCCTGCAAGTATTGAATAGCTTAATCCCTGTTCCTGGTTAGTTCTGGGCAGAGCTGGCGTGGGGCTTTCCATGGAGCACGTCACAAATCACTCCTGAAGCTCCCTGGCGTTGAAGGTTGGCCGCGGGCTGGGTAAAACCGTAGCAGTTTACTTGGCTTTGGAGCAGTTGACTGTGCTTCCCTCGTCCCACGCAGGGAAGTCACGGGGAAGCGGGCTCCTCCCTGCTGACCACAAAACTGTCGGTGTACCAAGCAGATGTAAAGAACCTTTAAAGCTCACGTTTAAAACTGCAAGCTCTGCTGGTGTCTCCGTGGGCTGCGTGTTTCGGGGAGGCACGGGCTGGCAGGGGACCCCAGCGTGCTTCCACTGCTTGAAACTGGAGCGTTTCAGAGCGCAGCTGGGAGCTGGGTGGTGTGAGTGTGAATATTCACCTGGCAGCTTCAGAGCGAAAGGTGGTGGAAAAAAAAGACCTAAAATGCAAATACCAAATTGTTTTATTAAGTAATCATTTGTTAATTACTGTTCTATTTGATTAGCATGATTTCCAGAAGTATAGTGTGGATCCTTCTGTATTTATTGGGAGAAAACTAAAGGCAAACGTTAACAAATGCCATTTTCTGTGTTTTGCACGCAAGGTTTTCAATATGGATTATGGAATGAAAGAACAGAATCCCATTGATAACGTTCTCTTCTATTGCAAGGCTGATCCTTCCCAGGCGGTCAGGATCGCTAAAGAGCAGGTAGGGTTTTATTTTCCTCAACTGGCTTCTGAAGGGCATCTTTGTCACAGCCTGGGAGGGGAGTGATTACAGCCCTGCCTGGTGGATCTTGCAGGAGTTGAGGAGAGGTGGTGGAATCCATGTCCTTGCAGGTCTTCGGTGGGTGTTGTGCTGCGGCAATCTGGAGTCCTGACAGCCCTTGCATATGGGCCGTATTTAACTTGAATACTGGATAAAGTTCAAGGCTTGTAGTGGGATGGTTTTTACTGCTTTCTGTTTGTATTCAGATTAAAAAAAATGAAGTTCAGTGGACTCTGAATTCCAAGAAATACTAAAGCTCATTTCTTTTTTATTGCAAAGGTTTCAAAGCTTTTACCCATGACGTTTGCGGAGCAGGTTATCCGGGCTTACTGCAAAAGTCAAGATCCAGATACTGTTTCAGCTGCAAAGCAGTATTTTATTCAGTGGTGTATAAATAACAATTGCACCAAACCACAGGTAACAAATTCCCATATTGTCTTTCTTGTTCTTGGAGCTCTTTGCCTTTGTCCATAAGCTTGATCTTAAAACCTTGGCATTTTGCCCTTGTCTTTGTCAGAGCCACTCCTCACCAACCGAGCCTCTGGGTTTGTTGTGGCTCACACCTGAGCGTGCTCTGGTTTGACTGAAGTGGTGATGGATTTGCACTGATTTAACTTGCATCATTTGGAAAGTCGTGCTTTTGTGACCAAGTTAGTGTCCGCAGACACCCGCTAGCTCTCGGCGCAGGTTTCCTCATACAAAGGCTTAAAACAGCACTGAGAGATTAAAAGGTGTAGGGACGCGGTCAGATCAGCTCTTCTGTTGTGTTCACCAGCTGTTAAACTCGTTCCGCTGCCAGGAGCTCCGTGGCGGGTCCGTTTGCTAGAGTGGAAAGTACCTGCAGGAGCAGGGTTGCAGACCTCGGCTCCCCGGGCGACTGGTCTGTGTCTGAGCGCTCGGCAGGCTTTGCCTGCTCCCCGCCTTTCCCTGTCCTGCCAGCTCTCGGAACACACCAGTTCCCCGCGGTGAGGAAGGAGGAGGGTGTGCTACAGCCCGTCTGACGCTGTGCTTTGTGTTGGGAGCAGCGTCAGAGCTGCCTGGCAGGGGGAGCGGAGCCGCCAGGGCGGGCCCTGAGCCCGTACGTCTGGCTTTGCGTTCCTCCTGGCAGACGTGGTGGAGAAGCCCGTGGCAGTCGTGGCTGTAAACTGGTGATGTGTGATAAGACATCCCCATCACAGCCCCCTTGCAGGAAGGTGGACACCTTCATCTCAGTAAGTGTGCTGATGCTCCCAGTGTGCCCGTTGCTGGAGGGAGGCGGTTGTGGCC